AGCATCGCAGATGAAATTTCACAGAACCTGTGCGGTGTGGGACTAATCAACGCTTCCCAGCATTGCCAATGTGTGATGCGGAGTATGAGCTCACCCTGGAGAGCTGGGTTTTTAGCTCGTGCCTAGCCAAGGTAATTTGCTTCTCACCTTGGAGCAGTTTTGGAACGGCAGCATGACTGTGTTTGTGCCTCCTCTTAATGACTCACTTTTTTTGGAATTGTTTCTGTCTGATTCTGAAATTCCACGATTTTTACAACCAGGAGAGTTTGGACTCTCTTTGTGCCCCTCTCCTTATAACTCCCTGCATCCCTTTATTCAGACAAAACTTTATTCCTGTTTCTTGGTGAAAAGCATAGTTCACCCAAAATTAAACATTGTCATCATTTACTCACTTTTATTTATCTTCGAAACTCTGCTTGACGCACAAGAACAAACCTCATTGGTTCGCATATCTAGCATGTTTGAGCTCTTGCTTACCATTTTTGTTTTAGGTTTGTACATTTTATCAATGTTTATATTTGAATAAAATCCTGACATAAATATAAAGTCATCACGTATCGATTGATTTCTTTTACAGTCTCTATGCACTTTCTGAAGCATTAACATTTTTAAGTAATAAACTTTCTTTGGAGGGAGAGACATCTCTTAGGTTTATGTTTTAAAGATGAATTAAGGTCTTATGGGTTAAGAACAAAATGAAGATGAGTAAATGGTGACAGAATTTTCATTTTGGGGTGAATAACTCCTTTAATTATTCAGCAAATTGATCCATTTATCAGTTTCGTTTTTTCCTCCCCACTCAAAATCTTTCCATGCAGGTAGGATTTGTTTGTGAACGTCTGCTCAGACTGAGCCAAACGGGAGGCTTGGGTAGATAGGCCTATTGGATGCTTATTGAAAATTTTCCACTGAGTACAGACATTAGGAAGGCAAGTGAGCGGGAAAAAAACAGTGGAACAAAAAGCGATGGTCTGAGTTTGCTCTGTGCCCTTTTGTGATACGCACTCTGTAATATCTTCCATTCTCTGCTCTCCAAAGACCCCACTTTTATGATTATTGCCGCACTTTTATTTTGCTCGTTTTGCTCTTATTTACTCCAGCGTCCTCCCTAGGATCAAATCTGCGTGAGAGATGATCATTACGCAGCTCCAAACCTTGGTCAGAGCACACTTAAGATGTCATTGTCATTTAGGGTAGGATGTAAACACATCACAGTTCAATCCAAGAATACATCTGCTTCCTCTAAAACGAAATAAGGTTTATTGCTCTTTTGTAATTTAGTTTTGTTGGACTTACGCACTGATCTTGACTGTTCCAAATGGCATCCTCGGCCCTAACCAAGTTACGCCAGAAAGGTGTATTGAGGACACATTGCAGCTACATAGAAGATGCTATTGAGGATCTTTGAAGTCATACACAGTAATGTACAGTAAATTACTATATTAAGTTTACAATTTGGTAACGTAGTTTTGCTAAAGGCAGGTCAAGAGCACAAGGTACTATTGAGCACCATTTTCACCATAATATGAAAATGTGACAGCCTGGGATGTTGTGGACACACAAGAGAAAGTCATAAGGACGCATGTCCACATCAAGTGTCTCATTTAGGGCATGCCTTTTGAGCTACCCTGAATAATGTATAGTAAATAAATGGGGTCATGAGGTATTTCAACAAGAAGTTTGGTTATCCACCATTAACATAAATCTAAGTTATAAGAAATGGTTTGGTTGGACATGACCTTCTGGGTCTGAATGTTGCACTCAAGGGAAAAAAAATGAAATGATTCAATGTTTCAGTTAAAAATAATAATAATAAAGTTTGCATATGCAGTTCAATCGAACTTTTCCTTATCTTACACACTACGTATCTGCATCAAAGCAATGTCTTTGAAGATGTGTTTGACTGGATCTAAGATAATATCATTTCCAAAATTAAGTTTACAGTGTCTGATTGCTTAACTTACTAATTTGTTTAGCCAATAATTTGACACTGGCTGTTTTGATGTAGTCGTGGGAGTATGTTCTCAAGTGTGTAATAATATTAGCCTGAGAAAGGGCCAAATGTGAATGGAACTATTTCAAACTATATTAAAAATATCCTGGATGTCCTTTGAGAGTTTGAAAGAATGGTTCACTCCAAAATAATAATAATAAAAAAAAAACTATCACCATTCTCACCCTAATTTAATTCCAGACATGAATGTAAATTATTCTACAATTTGACATTTTGTTGACCACAAGAAAAACTGTTTCAAACTATATTAAATATACATGGTATAATAATGGTAATAAAGTCTGTCATCATTTACTTCTTTACCTGCATCATATTATTCCAGGACAAATATTGAAGAATGTACAGGACTGTTCACTCGTTCCATGCAAATACAATGCAACTTCCAAGCTTCCAAAGAACACAAAACATCATAAATTGTCAAAATTGCGATCTGTTATAGCAATATTAAAGCTGAGTGTGAGGAACAAACCGACATTTTAAATATTTTTTTTTATTTTGAAAGATTGCAAATTCAAGTGTAGGTAATCGGTCAGTGTCTGAAGGATGAAGAGGCTGAGTAATAAAGCTCTAAAGGTGATGAGGCAGTGCTTGTTTGTCAGGTCAGTGTTGAGAGGTAGTTAATCAAACCATGTCTGGAATGGAGTTTGGTTTCGACCCCACTGCAGGACCTAAATCAGCAGGTTATATTTGGTCTACTGGGCCCCGTCAGAAGCTGTGAGACCGGGTATAATGCAACAAAACACCGGCTAAATGCATGAGAATCTGAAACAGATTTCTGAATACTTGAAATGACAGAATCCAAATCCACAGCTTTCTTTGTTATATATATATATATATATATATATATATATATACAGTATATATATATATATATTGCATTTATATAATATAATATATTATTATTATTATATTTTTTCACCCACTAATAAGACTAATAATTACTTTCAGATGCATCTTAAAAGCCTTAACCACCATTAAAAATAACTAATATTTTTTTATTTTTATTTATTTTTTTATTTTTTTTGACAAAAGCACTTGTGTGTGAAAGTTCAAATACCAGTGTGGCCACATATAGTGGCCTTCCAAAGAAAAACACAGCTTTCTCAGTCGCTGTGCGATTATCAGTGGGGTGGAGACATAAATAGCACACACTCTGATAAGGAGTAACAGGCGTTCACAATGCTTCTGTAGTCATGTTTTTGGCACTAACATTACTGCAATAACAACAGAATGCAACTGAGGAGGGGGCGGAATTGAAAGAGAAAAAAGGACAGGAGAGACGTTTGGAGAATGATAGGTTTTTATGACAGTGAATTTCTCATCATTGGGCCCACAAGCCAATGTGGGGTCACCATAAATGCAAATAGAGTCAAGGGGAGGATTTCTGTAGGATTGATATAAATAAATAAAAGCTTTGCTAGCATGATTTTTATAGCCATAGGATAATCCCATAAATAAAAATAAGCAGCTTTAGTTGTGCTTAAAATATTTTTTGAGATGTAGGTTACAATGTGACCCAAGAGCAAAGACGAACTAGAGTGACCAGATGAAGACTATTAAAAATATTTAAAAAATCTAGTTTTAAATGCATGTATTTAGAAATGCATGTTGATTTATAAAAAAAAAAATATTTTTTTTGTTTCAATTTCAAAAAATCATTTTCATTAATTGTTTTACAAAAATGGTATACAGTATAAACATCAAATTAAAAGTAACAACATTTTATGGATTGCAAATTTTAACCCTTGTGCATCCTTGTGGACATTTTTGTCCTTTTCAGTTTTGTTTTTTTGATTACTTTGCCTGTGTTAAAGCTAACTGCAAAAAACTTGGCACAGGTGTGTATTTTTATTGGAATTTTACTATTTCACCGTCATTTTCTTAAAAAAATATATTTTTTGCATTAGGTACAAAAAATACTCCCTCTCAGCCCCTTTTGGACAAAAATGTCCCCATTGAAACCAATTAAAACTGCCATTTTTAATCCCCGGGTCAGTTAACTATAAAATTATGCAATCTTTGGTAAGAGGCTTTCATTCTGATGGCAAGGCTTAAAAATTTTATTTTTTACTATTTTTTATCAGATGGTGTCATTTGTTTTAAGTTTGGCCTATAAAACAAATGTCGCTTTATTCCTGTTTTCTGGTTCGGCATACTATAGAGCCAACTGGATAAATTATGCAACAGTATTTGTGTGGGTGTTTTGGTATGGATGTCAGAGTGTGGTTAGTATGTGTGTTATAAAAAATATGTGTGTGTGTGCGCATGTGTGTGTTTGTCAGACTGAGAGAGAAAAACTGCAAATTCAGATCCAATCACTGTGAGCTCCAGTGGGGTTTTGCTGGGACCCAATGGAAAAAATATGTTACTACGCCCAAACAAACTGTTACCGAAAGCTCAGTTTTTGAGATATCATCCTCAAATTTGGAACACAACCTATTTAGATTTATGGCTTTGATTTTATTGTAGTTTTGAGTTCAACCTGATTTAAAAAATATATATTTTATATAAAATATTATTTTATAAATAATTTTCATAAACTTATACCTATATAACTTTTTTTTTGGATTTACTTATTATTATTTTTTTACTTCAGCAATAATCTGCAAAGGGTCTTCTTTAAAATGATACCAAACTTAAGTCTGTGCTCCAAAGCGTCACATTTTTATGACAGTTTTTTGACATGGACATTTTTGTCCTCTTTTTACCTATGTGTAACTTTTTTTAATTGATGCACAAGGGTTAATGACTTATGTTTGCAGTTTTTCAAAATTAAATATACAATTTTCATTTCACTAATGTTGAATTTCCAAAATATTCTTTGAAAAGACCGACAATATTTGAGAATTCCTTCTAGCAGCAGAAGCTCTGTGGAATTTATACAGTTCAGAGCTCCATGTGTCCTTCCTGTCTTCATTGTCTTCAGCACTCTATGAATTTCATGTTTCTCTCGCTCTCATTTGACCCCTTTCTTTGCTGTGTTCAGGTGGCGTTACGTCTGCGGCCCATCCAGTCCTTGCAAATGCACCAAAAACCACTGGTCTTTGTGCTGAACTCCCCTCAGCCCATCCTCTGGAAGCTTCGGACAGAGAAACTGGTCTCAGGAGTTAAACGCATCTTCCATGTGAGTCCGAGCAGCTTTATGACTCTCAAACCATCTCTCTATCATCGCTCTGTCTCTCTCTCCTTCCTCCCCATCACTGCTTCTGAGCCAACTCCATCTACATTTTCTCAGTAAAGAATATTCAGATTCTCATTCATTCTAAATCAACAAGCATCTTTAAACACACAATTCATTTACACTCTCTTTGGCTCGTCTTACCTTCCTCAAACAAACTTCTCCACTCTCCTGTCAGCAGAGGCCTTAGTCGCTCAAAGATGCATTCAGGTGTGTGTACCCAGAGGAAACACGCACACATATACACACGTAAACACACCCCATGCCAACACAACCATCTTTCAGACAGAGGCTTGTGTAATTGCATCTGGCACAGGCTCACAGGTTTATATTGACTGCTGTGGATGTTCACCACGCTGCCTAAAGGATGTTTGGTGTCGAGACGCTCTGTTTCCCACTGCTTTAACCATCGCTTTTGCCACAGAAACACTTATTGCTCAGTGGGTGCTCTTTATAGCTCATGAGACTTAGAGTTCTCAGATATGGATAAACTTTTTATTTGAAAAAAAATCAACACAAATGGGACAATTGTTGATGTAGAGTAAGAGTGTAGAGTTATTAATGTGTATAGCATGGCTCAGATTATTTGTTCTGGGAAAACTTTAATGAAAAATGTTCATGTTGAGGTCTCTGACATTGGATTTGCAGAATTTTATATATTGGCAAATTTAAAAGTCTGCAGGGATCTCTACTGAAACTCTAGAGGAGACACGTGTGAGACGACTGGACGGTTTAAGCAGAAAAATCTGAGCAGCAGGAAAGCCTCATTTATGAAACGAACATAGTATTGTATGTATATGCATCCACCTTATATTAAAGTGGACATGAAATAGAATTTCACCATACAGTACAATGTGAACAATTCATCCATGCATGTTTCATATATATATATATATATATATATATATATATACAGTATATATATATATATATATATATATATATACATATACCTCCTTATTTGTTTTTTTTTTCTCGAAATGTCATAACCCGATCCTCTGGTGAAACTACAGACTTCTTTCTTTCTAGTGATATATGGCAGGATTCCTGTCCAATCATCCAATCATTTAGTACTGTATATTTAAACTCTGCCTCTTAATAACAGTTGACTTTAGTGTCACATTCAGATCGGCCTCCGTCCATTGAACAACCGATTAATAGATTATGTATTATAGATTAAAATATATAATAATTTAAATGACCTGTCACTATTTTTGTTACATTATGACATTAATTAACACTCATTAAATCACAACATCAATGGCATAAATCTGTTTTTTTTTTTTTTTTTTTTCATTTTTTCCATACATCCATGTCCATTATATCTATATCACTGCATAAGACAGTTTACCTTAGTAATCTAAAAAGAATCTCTCTTTTGTTTGTCATGGAGTTGTTCATGGAAATCATTGAATCATTGGGGGCTGTTAAGAAAAGAAAGCCACCCACTGAATAGCCAACCACATTTAGTCAGGTTTAATGAGAAAATGAAAATGGGTTGGGAAGGATTTCTGATCATAAGCATAGCTATTGAATTAGTTCATTTGAATGGGAAAAGGACTTTATAAATGTTTTTTTTTGTTTTGTTTTTTTCAGCGACAGGATGTTTTTTCTCTTCTTCAGAGTTAATTTCATATTATTTATATACTATTGTAGAATTGTATTCATAGTTTTAATTAGCGTTTTTTTCATGTTATATTTTTATTTTGAGTAATTTTGTCATCGTTAACATTATTGTTTTATATATATTTCTATTTAGCTTTTTCGTAATTTTAGTATGAAACTTATTTTATTTCAGATAACATTTCAGTTTAAGGTCATTTGTGTTTAAATTGTCATATAAAATTAATATATATATTTTTTTTTTCTTTTTTTTTTTCAATTAATGAAAAGGATTTTTATTAGATTTAGTTTTAAGGCAACTATTATAAGATTATCAAGCTGAATTTGGCCTCAATTCTCCTCTTCCGACAATCCTAGGTAAAGTCCCAATTATCTTGATGGTTCTACAGATTATCTTATCAGATTTTCCTGTGGTGTGAGGTGTGTTAAGAATTCAATTCAATTCAGTTCAAATTAATTTGTATAGCGCTTTTCACAATACATATTGTTTCAAAGCAGCTTTACAGAAAGTGCATTTCAGAAATGTACATGGAAAAATACAGTTAGTTAGTCATGTATTAATTTAGGGCATAACATATCGCCGGCGTATCGCTCGGAAGAACGTCAGGGCCGCACCGATCTCAAAACGGAAATATCCATAATGTTGAATGTTTACAATCACGTTTACGATCCTGTTGTGTAAGGGGAACCCTGAGGACAAACGCACATGCACTCTGTAGATTGTCACGTGGAATGAAACAAAATCAGAATGCAAGCTCACGGAAGACGGAACCATTTCTTTTTTCCCCTTGTCCTCCATGTTTGTGTACTCTAAAGCCACGTTTGACCGTGAGAGATTTTGCGAGATTTCCCATGTTAACTATCGGGACACTGTCTGGTTGTTTGTGAGTAGAATCTGTTAGTGTGTGGTGTCTTCATCACATCGCGTGTTAAATCACAAAAAAAAAAAAAAAATGTTTGTGGTCTCTCACTATCTGAAAATCGAATAAGATTAATGTTAACAATAACGACACTGCTCTTATGACTGCTCTGCCTGCAAACAATAATGTTTTGCGAGTTTTGTTAATTTACTAGTTTGAACATATATAAAGGCTAATTCACACTCCACCAACAGACGCATTCATTGGATTTTGTTGAATCAGTGTGTCTTGTGGTGCAGTGTGAATTAGCCACTGCGAACAAAATTATTTGGAATTACACATATAAAGTGAACATGGGATGGGGCATTTTAGTGTTCTTTTACATGGACCTGAGATACATTTAAATAACATATAATACACAATTCTGCTCTTAGAAACGTACGTGCATGCCGTTGTTGCTAAGAGTTCCTTGTAAAGTCCAATCCGAAACAAGTCGCCCACCACAGTTGCTGGTAAATAAATGATGTACCAACATACCCAAATTTGGCTGGTAGCGGGTGTTAATTTCCCATTATGTCCCTATCGCATGAGAAAATCACAATGAAATGAGAGTAAGAGGCACTGGTTTACTAGTTAAACTCTATCACACTCTTCCTGCCTCACTGTAAATACTTTTATGTAGCTAGCGGTTCTATGCAATAATCATTTTCAAATGGGTTTTAAAACCATAGCATTCCAGAGGAATGTAGTGCTGAGAGCCACTATTATTTCCATGTGTGTAGATAAGTTCTGCTCTCCTGCTTGTGCTGTACATGCGGATGTACAGAGACTCTGCATGTGCAAATAAAATGCATGCTTTATTTCTTTTTCTATGTGTGAGGGACTTTCTCTAACATGCATACTAATACAAACAATAATATCCTCATAACTCCTTTAGTGGCCACAGAGAGATGTCCAACTCTACTACGCCCTACATTCTCTTTGTGTGAGTCAGTCCACTTTTACCATGTTAGATTTGGTCTTTCCTCCAGAATTCAGAATGCTGTAGTTGTCATTCATCACCTGGCTGTGGGAAGGGACTATTTATTCTGTAAAACTGCCCGTCAACACATTTAACTTGTTGCATGGTACAGAATGAAACCGAACCACAGCGAACCATGTTTTTTTGCTTTGTGACTGAGGCTCGGGTTACAGATACTTTGGAGATTATGGATGAGAAAAATGTAATATTGTGCTAGGCCGCAAATTGAGTTATGTCCTGTAGAGAGAGACAGAATGTATTCGTATGTCAGCTTCATGTAATTTCATGCAGATGACTATGGCCGAAATGTATTTCAGTGGAGAATGTGCTGAAGTCATCCTTGGATGTTTATTAGCAAGTCAACAGTCTTTTAAATGTCTAGCTTCGTATGCAGTGCTAATAAAAAGCATGTTTATGTTTTTGGCAGAGCTACCTAAGTACCTGTCATAAACACACTGTGTACCCTTTCTTGTAATGTACCCTTACGAGAAAGGGTAAACATTTTGTTTATGACCGATACTTCAGTTAGGTCAAGACAAATACTCAAAAGTGCTCACAACCAATATGATTGACTTGATAAATGAAAGCTGAGTGACTAAAATTTCAGTAGCGAACTGAGGGCCTGATGGTTGTATGTGTGTGTGTCTGTGTGTGTATATATATTAGGGGTGTAATGGTTCACAAAATTCACGGTTCGGTTCGGTTCGATATGATACACTTGTGTCACGGTTCGGTTCGATGCGGTTCGGTACATTTCCAGTACAGAAAAAAAAAAGAAATGGCAGAGAAATTTCCTTTATTTAATTTTGAATTATATTTTTATTAAAACTAACATCATAAAGTATGATATTTTTTTAACTTTGAGCAATATGGAGCTATAACGTTACTAGACTTTTCTTAAGAGCATATAAAACAAAACAGCTCCTTAGACAAAATGAAATGTAATATTGTAGTAGTTATAAACAAAGGTTTATTTTAGTTCAGATTAGCATTTGAGGGCAGCAATTGTATTCATAATGTCAAAATAAAATTGACGTGAGGTTACTTGAAAGCATAATAGCCTATCTGGATTCATGGCACAATGTTTCTTCCTGTTTTCCACGTCAGCGCTGTTTGATCCGTTAATAACGGAGAAATGTGAATGTTACTCACTAGATATCACAGCGATGTTATTACTTTAGTGTCGAATTCAAATGTTTTCTTTCTGATTTCGCTGTTTAGTAACAGTGCTTCTTGATTAAGATCGGTTCGTGCTGCATTGGTCCAAACTGATAAACGGTCCATCAACCACACAATAACGAGTAGCTCAGTTTCGTTCTGCTTACTCTACATTTGCCATTTGATGTTGGGCAATGTTGTGGTCACGCCTGCGTCTCTTACATTATGAGCACGCTTGCCACGTGCGACGCACCTATATTTGAAATAACGAAATTTTGGTCTGC